TAGTGTTTACAACTATAGGTTTACAGTGTAGTGTTTTACAACTATAGGTTTACAGTGTAGTGTTTACAACTATAGGTTTACAGTGTAGTGTTTACAGTGTAGTGTTTACAACTATAGGTTTACAGTGCAGTGTTTACAACTATAGGTTTACAGTGTAGTGTTTACAACTATAGGTTTACAGTGTAGTGTTTACAACTCTAGGTTTACAGTGTAGTGTTTACAACTCTAGGTTGAACAAAATCCATGAATGAGCAGTGCAGTGATTTTGTTCAAACTTGGTATATATATTGGTCATTATAGGACCTTGATGCACATCATTTTGTTTTTCAGATGAGAGTCAAAATGGCCGATTGGTGGCCATTTTGTTTTAATGAATGTGTCATATCTCTGACTTGCTTTGACTAATTATGTTCAAATTTTAAATATTTATTATACATCATGTCATAGATATATTGGTTTGACGATCCTATCAAAAATAGCCGAATTGTGGCCATTTTTGTACTAAAAAATCATCAAATATCAAGCATTTCTGGCATTTATGGATGGATTTTGTTCAAACTTGGTACATACATTAGACATTATGGGTTCCTGATGCACGTCATTTTATTTTTCAAAATGGATGACTGGCGGCCATTTTGTTTTAATGTATGGGCTCCTAGAGCCATATCTCTGACATGCTTTGACTGATTATCTTCAAATTTTATATATTCATTGTACATCATTTTATAGATATATACATGTATTCAAAATGGCTGATTTTGTTTTAAATAGCTATTTAATATTGTTCCAGAGCAATATCTCTCAATATGGACAAGTCCTCGTTTCATGATCAGATACAAATGTCAATCATTTTTTTGTTAAACAATCATCATAATCATATTCCTGACATGGTTATATTCCAACTATATATCTTAAATTCGATAACTAACAGGGACTGTGCCATGCATGGCTTGTTTATTTTAGAATGAATCTGACAATAGAATGTAAAAAAGTAACAGATTTAGAAAAAGATACAACAGAATGGGCTTTTGGATTGACAAAGTCCAACATGCAAGAATTGTAAGTATATGAGCATAGTTTGTTAGTTTGTATTGTATTAAATCATTTTTCAAATATATGTAGTACCAGATGAAGATCATTGCCATGGTTACCAATAGAGACTACTCATCTCTGTCTAATGGTTTGTTGTAATCTGTTTTATTGTCAGCAAAAGTTGAAATTTCATAAAAATGACATTTAACTTTGGCTGAAGAAAAATTGCTTTCTATAACTCTACCCATAGTTTTGTGAAACTTTTATTTTGTGCAAATTAGTTTATCTTACAGTCGTTCTGAGAATTATTCTGACAGTCAGTTAGCAAAATGACTTGCAACTTTGCAAAACACTTTGGTCTTTTCCAATCTAGACTTGTCGGTGCAACTTGATTGATGGGCGTGTGGTTTTTGAGATTACTATTTCATAGGGGTTGTGGGCATAGTAAATTACAAGTATTATCTTGCGTGCTTATACAGCAACCATTCTTTATTTATTTTTTATTAGTCCCAGTTCGGACGGAGTCCGAAAACGGGGACTTATGTTTTGCCCTGTGTGCGTCCGTCCGTCCGTCCGTGATCACCTCTATCTCGAACATGCATGGACCGATTATGTTCAAACTTCACTCATACATCACACATTATATGGGACATATGCACATGCATTTTTTTCATGATCCGATTAACGATAGCCGAATAGCGGCCATTTTAAGGCCGAAAATGCATCAAAATCGCACATTTTCACCATTCCGGACCCGGATCTCAGTTATGCATGGACGGATTTCGTTCAAATTTGGTACATACATTAAACATAATAGGACCTTGATGCACGTCATTTTTTTTTTCGGATCAAGTTTGAAATGGCCGACTGGCGGCCATTTTGTTTTAAAGAATTCAGTTCTGGATCCATATCCGAGACATGTCTGGATTGATCAAGTTCAAACTTCACACACACAAGGTACATCATGTCACAAATATGTATGTGCATTTGTTTCATGATCCCATTAACGATAGCCAAATGGCGGCCGCTTTAAGGCCGAAAATGCATTGAAATTGCACATTTTCACCATTCCAAACCCGGATCTCAGTTATGCATGGACGGATTTCATTCAAATTTGGTACTTACATTAAACATAATAGGACCTTGATGTACGTCATTTTTTTTTCCGGATCAAGTTCGAAATGGCCGACTGGCGGCCATTTTCTTAAAGAATTCAGTTCTGGATCCGTATCCAAGACATGTCTGGATTGATCAAGTTCAAACTTCACACACACATGGTGCATCATGTCACAAATAGATATGTGCATTTGTTTCATGATCCGCTTAACAATAGCTGAATGATGGCCATTTTAAGACCGAAAATGCATTAAAATCACGTATTTTCACAATTCCGGAACCAGATCTCAGTCATGCATAGATGGATTTTGTTCAGATTTAGTACAATGTGCTGTACATATGCAGGTGCATTTCGGTCATGATCTGCTTTGAATGTATATGTCACTCAAATATGAACGGAACGGGGACGTGTCATTGACAATGACTTGTTCTAATTATTTTCGTTAATTTTAAAAATTGCAAGTTGGGTGTTAAATTTGTCAACAAATCTCTCGCTCATTTTAGTCAGTTGTACCTGTTACAAAAATGGGCTAGACATGATAACGGTCGTTATACCCTCGTCATTTTCAGTTGAAAAAGTGATTTGCAAAGTCCATCTAACCATTATAATCTAGTTTTCTGTTCGTGTATCCCGGACGTACTCTCTCACCTTGGTATAAAATCTGAATTTAATACATAATGCACCAGTAATGTAAAAACATCTTTTAGTTTGGCTCAAAACTATCTTGAAACTGCAGTTTGTCCAATGCCAAGAAACTTTACTTTGAGCTTTCCCGCCAACGACGAGTTCATTAATACCTGGGGCTACTCAACACTGGGGAGTTGTTTTGTATATTGCGCTATGTCAGGTGGACTCAGATGGGTATAACAATTTAAAATAACACTTTGAATGCATATACAATATATAGCCCGTTAATGTATGGTAACCAACTCATGTTGTTTTGAAAACAGTGTTTTACCTGCATCTAGCAAGATAATGGAATGACCCCAACTGTGGGCTTTCCAATACAATGCTGCCATCAAGTCTAGATTGGAAAAGACCCAAGTGTTTTGCAAAGTTCCAAGATATATTGCTAACTGACTGTCAGAATAATTCTCAGAACGGCTGTAATTTTATTTTCATGTTTCTTCCCAAATGACTTATTGTTCAGTTACTGGAAATATCAAATTTTTTTGTCTGTTTTATTTGCCTGTTTTATGTAGTCTCTGAATGAAATGACAGATGTCATGTTGTTGGTGAAATAAATAACTAATTTAAGCTACATTTTACATTCCAGTTATGAAGCAAGTAGTTGGGGATGGCGTGATAGAGTGAAGAAGGAAGAGCTGTCAGATGACAGAGCGTGGTACTTAGTAGCTAGAGATTCAGATGGATTAGCTGTAGCATTTGTACATTTTAGATTTGATATAGATTATGATGATGAAGTCTTATATTGGTATGTCCAACTTTTGATAACTTGTTATTTTGGGTCGTCAAATTTGTTATGTGCCCCACGGATGATAATAAACATGATTCACCACTTGAATCTGAATGCTCAAAATGCTCAAAAGTATTTGTTTTATTTCAGTTATGAAATCCAGATTGAGAAAGCTGTAAGAAGGAAGGGACTTGGAAAATTTCTCATGCAGATTTTAGGACTCATAGCCCTGAAGTAAGTTAGTGTATGGTGAATTTGATGGAGTTTCATGCCTCGCTTTTCTGTAATGATACATGTCTAGGTCACTAGTAGCATAGTGGTTGTCGCATCAGACTCATGATCGGTAGACCCAAGTTCAAATCCTACCTTAGGCTGAACATCAAAGGGTCGACCCTTACCCTTGGTGAGTGTGCCATAGACTCAATGGGAAAGCCAATTCCACTGCCTGAGATTCATTCACTAATGAATGCGAATTTGGGGGAACCTTGGTTAAGGTCCGCAGGTGCTTGTGTTCGACAGGGCCTGGTTGACACCAGGACAGCGCATTAAAATTGCCATTTGATAGGGAGATGGCCACACAGCCCTGTCATGTAGTCCCAAATAGGAAATGACTTCTGTGGCAAAATGCACTATGTGTCAGCACTAGCACTTGCAATTTGCACTTACAAAAAAAAAAGTCAGGAGAGACAACAGTGACATTCAGTCCGGAACTGTCACCTGGTGCAAAAAAAACATGTCTAGGAATTACTGTAATACTGAGAATTAATATATCGTACTTCCCTGAGCATAAGCCCTTCCCCGAGTATAAGCCACATTTAACAGGTGGAGGGCATCCCGAGTATAGGCCCAGGGTGTTTTAACCGGGCGCCGCAACGACATTTATTACAAATATGCATGTAAAAAGTGTATTTCATTGAATAATAATCATGATTATTATAGTAGTTTGGTTCCTGCTTTTACGAGAAAACTCGTATTAATTTCAGAGTACATGGCCGGCGAACGTACAGAACATGGTTTGAACCTCTTATTTACTCAGGATGAACCCCGTGATGTTGCAATACTGAAGCAATCCATATTTCTTTTGAGTAGTATTTTTACAAACGCCAAACATGTGATCGTCAAGTCGTGAAACCTGATCATTGAACATCATTTTACTTTTCCGAATAATCGTGTCCATTGAGACTATCGTGAATGTGAACGAGCAAACTATTCTTCGACATGATTTGTTGGCGACCGTGAAAAGTTTAAATACATCCTCCACCCTCAGTTTACCTTTCGAAAATTGAGAATCAACAGCTTCAGGGAAAAATCATCGTTTTTTGTCGAAATCAGATCGCATTTTAACATCGCGGTAATTCACTTTCGCATCGCGTTGAAAAAATGACTTCGTCAATAATCGGAAAACTTCGTCTGTATGACACAGCATTTTGATTGGTTAACGAAAGACGTAAGTTGTTCAGGTCAAATCATGATGCAAAACAGCATGGCGGAAATTGCATTGTATCAAGAGTTTGCATTCCACAACGAAGATATTGACGATAGAGTTTTGCCTTTGACTGTTTTCCCACAGACCCTACCCATTTTTGCACCGTAAATTCAGACCGTATGTAAACCGTATTTTAATAAAACATGTGTATTTTTATGAACATGTTTGTTTCTTCATTTTAAAAAGTGTCCTTGCAATCAAAAAGACATAATATTTCTCCAAACAGGCGCTGTGAACGAAAAATGTAATATGGATAATTTTTCGTGGTTGGAAATATGGTTACAATTTTAAACCCCTCAAAAAATGATCTTTTCTGAGTTGGTCCTTGAGTAAAAGCCCACCCCCTAATTTTCCCGATTTTACATGTTCAGGCCCCTGGGCTTATACTCAGAGAAGTACGGTATGTCTAGGTAGTCCTACTGTAATACTAGGAATTAATGTATGTCTAGGGAGTTGTAATAATATTGTACCATACTCGACCACGTTAGCAAATGACCACTTTTAATTCACCATGTGACAGATTGAGGGGGATATTATTTCTTTCAGGGAAAATAATTAGTTGCGTCATCATTGTCTTTTACAATAAGGAAACAGAAATGGTCACAAAAAATATGAACATTTTATTACAATATTAATTATATTAGTCTGTTGGAACACAGTCAAAGTCTTAATCATTATCTCCACTGACGAATGTGTTGGCTCATACGCATACTCTCAATGAAAAGCATGATTTGACCTGCAAAAACGTCCTTTGACCTAATAGGTCAAGTCTGCTGTGTTGTACCAACGCAATTCTTTGGAAATTCCCGAAGACTTTCTGGTAACGTAATGCAGAAGTGAATTATCGTTATCAAAGTACATAGTAACTAGCAATTTTTGATAGGTAAACTGAATATGACATCAAATGATTACCGCATTTTACTTTTATTAACAGATTGTCAAAGCGTAGTTTACGCACGGTTACCCTG